CCACTGCAAAAGAATTCCAAACACCACAAAAAAACAAGTAAAAATCAACAATACAACTTACCATTTTTCCCGATGATATTGCACTTTCCAGATTTGAYGCAATCAACGTAAACCCAGAAATGATCCCAATATGATAAGAGCTAGCCAGGTAGTTATGATCAACTTTGAGATTGCTCCTGGATTCTAAAACATTGGAAAACTGAGTAACAGCATCACAAGACCAATCAAAATTTTGCAAATACACCAAATGCCACAAGAGAGAGAGAGAGAGAAGCTATATGGATAGGAAATGAAACCAAATACCATGACAAACTTCCCCACCATTATAAGGAAATAATTAACATGTGCCACAGTATATGCATGAATGGAAGGAAACAACTGAAATCTATGCTAATAAGATATAATGGAGTAGAATATAATTCTTTGAGGTCCATTCCAAGGAAGAAGTCCTTGAACCGTCTCACCCCATTTGTGCTTTTTTACAAGGGAAGCTGTGAGACCACCATCATTTGCTAATCGCCTATCCATTTGTTGTTAGCATTGGGTACATTTCCTTCTTTCTTTTTGCTGTTTGGTGTTAGGTGTTTTACTAGTCAATGTATAGACACACTATGCTGACCATCCTTTTTCCCAAATCCCAAGAAAAAAAGGACAAAGATATTTTGGAAATGCACAAGAGCAGCCACTTTTAGGACAATTTAGGAATAGCAGAATACAAGAGCATTCTCCATTAAATCTAAGTCCCTAGACTTKACTTATCTCCATTAACCATTCATTGGGAAAAGACTTTGGAGGAACTCACCATGTCCCCAACATGAAGGAACAGAAAAGTTACACCTGAGATGTCCCCCAACATGCAACCATATCTTGTTATTTACATTTTGAAAATTCCATACATTTGACACCCAAGCGGTTTTAGGAAACAGGGACCGGTTCACCAGTTTTCCAGTTAAACCGGCCAGTCAACTGGTTTTGAGTGGTTTTCTACCTATTCCGGTTTCTAGGGTGCAACCGAACCAGACATATGACCAGTCACAGTTCAACTTGTTCAACTGCTGGGCCTGGTCCTATTTCCTAAACACTGGTTCCTAAACAGTGGTTTTCTACCTATTCTGGTTTTGAGTGATTTTCTCAGGCTCCATAGGTATTGAAGACTCAAATAACTCAATAAGGGAAGCAATACTACTATACTAGGCATATGATTGCAAAGGTCCATAGGTATGAGAATCTGACAATGAAAAGGTACTCAAAGACAATATTTAGTTGGCTGAGAGATGGATCTACAGTTCCCTGATATCTAAAACATCAGATCAGGGAGGCTAAACCTTGGCATTCACCTGAAGCAAGATTCTTCTGGACCGAACAATCAGCATAAACTCTCTTGCCAATTCCCTAGACAGAGGGAGTCAGAAGAAATACTCTAACTGGGGTACTTATCTTCTGGGTTAAGGTTTTTCTTTTGTACTTTGTTCTGATAGAAAATGTAGGGAGATTAGCAATGGGCTAGCTCTTTTTTTTTTTTGGATAATTGAAAATGATTTCATTAATCAAGAGGACTAAAGCTTTACAAGGATCCCTTGGAGAGGCACGAGATGCAGCCTCCCCTAAACATTACAAGTGATCAGAAATAAAGATTACAAGGCTGCCCATAATAAACAATCCCTAGTAGACCCCTTTTGAGCAAGATAATCAGCCAAAGCTTTTGCCTCCCTACCCACCCACTGATATCTACATGTAATGTTATCTCTGTGCCTTCTTTATTTCTATTGGTAATACTTTAATAGAACAATGATCACAGTTACTGGTATAAAAAGTATGGTCATTACATCAAATGACCAGAAATAAAATATGAAACACAGTCTTGGGCCATCAGGAAGCAATACATCTAGAAAATAAGTAGCAAAGATCAAATAAAATATGGAACACAGTTTATGGATGTGCAGTGTGGAGGGGCATACAGAAAGCAGCAAGGGATTTCAAACAGGGGATAAAGCTGGAAGTAGGCGATGGGTCAAGAGTGGTTTCTTTTTTATTTTTTTTGAAGATAAATTAGAAAGAAAAATTATTAATGAAAAAAAGGTTCAATTGTCAAGGGTGACAAGGAGTCACCACCCAGCCATACAAAAGATAAAACTCCAAAAAAAAAAAAAAAGAACCAAACTAAAATCCGTAAAACTCAAACCCCACACGATAAACCGATAGAGAAGACCAAAATTTTGAACCAAAATCTTCCAATTTGCAGCCAAAAATTTTGGAAGAAAAAACCAAATCCACAAGCCTTGAGCTGATGACCACCACTATTTTTACCTTGCTCTTCACCTTCCCTTAAAAAATTCTTCTATTTCTTTCCTTCCATAACTCCCAACAAATAGCAAAAGGAATGCAGCTCCTAAGAATTTTATTTTGATGATCCAGGATGAAGCCTCACTTTTGTCTTTGAACCTACATGCTCCAGCACCACTGGAATTAAGCAACTCCCTTGTAAAACCAACCTTGCCCTATATCCCACAAGCCATAAAGTCAAAATGCCCCCTGACAATCTCTCAAATCCCAATTCCACCCAATCTCCATTCCTTGAATCCCAAATTTCATTGATATCCAATCAAAATTCACCAGCTTTTGACTGGAGAATTTCTCAGGAAGGAGGTGTGGGAGTATGGTGTGGATGGGTCAAGAGTTAGTTTCTGGCAAGAGATATGGTGTGGGGGTAGCCCTCTCAAGGACAGATTTCCAACTTTATCAACAAGGAAAGTTTGGAATTTTAGTTTCTCTCAACAAGGAATGCTTGGTATCAGAGGTGTTCTCACAGGAAGGAGGTGTGAGAATTTGGAATCCAATTTTTTGAAGGAACCTAAACGATTGGGAAGTGGAGCAATGGGAAGAATTGATRCAGATCCTTAATACAGTTAGGGTGGACAGTCCAAGGAGGGATAAGAGAATTTGGTTAGGGGAGAAGTCAGGAAATTTCAGTCAAATCTTTTTTATAACAGA